GACTTGGGGGGCCTGGTAATCTGTATTTTAACAAGCCCTCCAAGAAGTCAAGAACTACTACTGAAGGTCATTCACAGGGTGGGCTGGTATCCCTGGAAAGAGAAACCAGCTGGGAGCCTTCTCTCTTTGCTTTCTTGTGGGAGATTGGCAAAAGCCAAGCTATAGAATAGAGTAAGGCCTACTAAAGATTCAAATCTGTTCTACCATCTACTAACTGGGTTACTGGGGGCTATTTTGTCAATGTCACAGGTTATCTTCAGTAAATATGGGAATATTAAGGCTTACCTTGGAGAGTTATGGAGGCTGAGATCACAAAGCCCCTTGCCCAATGCCTGAGATGTGTTTTTAACAAATACAAGTTTTCCTTCCTCCCCATTTTACTTTGTCATTTCTTCCCTGCCTTCATTCCTTCCACCTGAAATGGTCCACAGGCCACTCCAAGTTAGCTGTAGACACATGCCACATTGTTGACCAGAGACCAGGCTTAGAAGACAATCTCTTAGAGGTCAGTGCCTCCAGGGTACAGTGGTCACATTTTCAGGGTAAAAATCAGGGAACATAGGTCTGAGAACAGATGTATCTACTTATAGTATCAATGGGATAGAATATTTGAAATTAGGATTATCCTGGGAAATCTAGACAAAAATGGATCTCATTCCTCTTTTAAGAAAAATATTATGACTTACCCCTCCCCATTGTCTCATTCATATCCAAAAGTGTCTTTGGTGTAGGGGTGCAGAACACTGTGTGTCCCACTCACTGACAAGTCTGAGCAAGAGTCAACCTATATTTGGTGCTATACCTGAAATGTCCTGGGGATTAGGAATTATTTTGTTAGAAGTTACATCAGCACTTCCCCAAGGCCAGGAGCTACTTGGGTACCTTGCTGGAGTAACTCAGCACCATCTCCTGGCTTTAGGTTGGGCTTGCAGGATGAAGGGGTGGGGATAATTGGAAAATTAAGGCTTTTGCTGGGGAGAGGAGTATAAAACAGTTTAAGTTATAAAGAATTTAACCCCTGATAGAGCCACTCCCAAATGGCCTTTTCTTGTCTTTTTTCCTTTTATAGCTCTGTACTATATGATAATATGATCAGCTCCTGCTACTTAAAACTCTTAAAAGTCTTACTTAAAACTCACTTTCGTGAGATTACACTCCTTGGTATCCTAGTTATGTACTGAGAGCTTCTTTTGGTTTGTTTTTCTGGCTCCTCTTCTCTTCCTGACCTTCCATTACTGCTGTTTCCCTAGGTTTCTGGTCTTTCTTAGGATTTTCTTACAGGGCAAATTCTTTGGTTTCCACAAATTTCTGGGCCATTGACCCCAAAACCTATACAACAAGTCTCTCCTGATATCTCTCGAACTTCAAATCTACCTGCATATCCTGATGGCTCTCTATATTCAACACACTGAATAGAAAATTTGTCATCTCTTTTCCCCCCTCCCAAACCAGCATTTCTTCGTGTAACTTAACCTCATGCTTTAATTATCCCACTTTGGCTTGAAATGCTACCTTCACCTTCAAGTCAACTTTGACTTCCTCCTTTTCCTCAGATTAAAGAGCCTTCAAAAAGGACTCCAGCCTAGCTTTCCATCTCTCCTTCCCCAACTCCCCCAACTCCTTCTTCCCAGCCTTTTCCAAACTCTACTACCTGTTTGCCATCAAATTCCCTATAGTCTTTACCTATGAGACTTTATGTAATCTCATTCCTCATTGCTCTGCCTCAAATGCCTTTCCTTCTCCCTCCTATATCTGTTACAATCCTACCCATTCTTTAAGGTCTATCTTCAGTGTCACATCACATGTTCTCTTGCTGTCTCCCTGATTTCCTCCCATTCAGTTTTATCCTCTGCACTATTTCTTATATTCCACATGTGAGTGAAACCATATAATTGCCTTCCTCTGACTGACTTATTTCACGGAGCATAATACCTTCCAGTTTTAATTCACTTTTAAAACAACTCAGAGGATAGGCATGTAACAAACCCTTATTCCTGCTTATATTTGTGATTGGAGACTACAGGAGCCCCATACAGCTACCAGCCTCTTCTGGATGACTCTTCTCTCATGTCTGCACACATATCCATCAATTCTTTGTTCATTATTGTTTAACAGGTAAATAAACTGACTCAGTGGCACCATAATTTGTAAGAGCAGATACTCTAGAGCCATACTGTAGCTGCATTTGAATTATGTCTTTAATACTTATTGTCTGTGTAAATTTTGGAAAATTATTTAATGTCTCTGAGCTTCAGTATCCTCACCTCTAAGATAGGAATAATAATACTATTTCCTCAAAGAGCTGCTGTGAGGCTTTAATGAATTAATGTGTGTGAAGTTCATGGACTAGTGCCTGACATATAACAAGTACTCCATACTAGCTAATAACATCATCATCATTATCATCACACCTTTAGCAAGTAGCAGAGGAAGATCTTAAATCCAGGTGTTCTTTTCTACCATCTATCTATAGTGTTACTTTGAGGAAAGCATGATCTAGGAAGCTGGCCATCTGATGACTGCAGGCAAGTTCTCTTGCTATATTGTACCTGATCTATGAAATGGCTTAAGGGTGATAACCTTTGAAATGCTGTTTAGTTCTGACTGCTTTTGATTCCAGGTAGGCCCTGACAACAGGATTACCAGTTGGTTTATAGCCAATGAATCCTAGATTGTCCTTGTCTAAGGTATAGCTGAGCTCTATGATCTGAGGGCTCAGGCAGATCTGCTGGACTAAATGGGGACAAGAATGCTGCCAGGAAAAGCCAAACATGAAGTTGCTAAAAAGATGACTGCACTATAGAAAGAGCACAGGCAGTGGAATCAGCCAGACCTGGGTCTAGGGTACCTCAGACAACATCACAGATAGCATCCTGAGCTGAGGGCTGGTAACTGATGCCAAGATATGCTTGACCTTTGGTTAAAAAGCCAAGGTAATAGTTTTAAGTCACAGGCCTTCATGGTGCTGTGGGTTGGGGCTATATGTACTTATTGAGCTCTAACAACACCAGTCGGAACCCATCTTTGGTAGAAGAGGGAAATTTTTTTAATCAAGATTTATGTTATTAAGGCCAGCTACCAGCAATTCTCCACTGAGACCAGAACAAGAACAAATTGAATTTTAGTGCAATTGGAAGAAAGCAGGTTCATCATAAAACAAAACAAAATAAAACATCTCATAGTCAGGACAATTGGTGACTAAAGGTGGCTGTCCATATCTCTCTCTTTGTAGTTCTTTACAAATAGGAATCATCTGGTTTCTGATGTTATGGATGGAGTTTTATGAGTTCCCTGTAGCATTGATAGTATGGTATCATGGGTATTAGAACACATGCAATCAGAAGGCCAGGCTCCATAATTTATTACTTATATGATTGAACAAAGGACAGGTCACCTATCTGAGCCTTAGTTTCCTTATCTTTAAAATATGGGTAATAGTGAGACCTAGTCATTCAGTAAGGATCAAGTGGTGAAGTAGATATGAAAATACCTTATAAATAGTAAAGGATGAGATAATTGAAAGATGGTGTTATAAAAGACCCCATTGGAAATCTCATTTGCATCCGTGCTGAGGAGCTCCCAGTATGCCTTACCTAACCAACATAATTACTTAACTAAGTCAAAAGATCAGTATGTGGGTGTGTTTTCATATGTATGTAATGTGTTAATTTCATAACCATGGGTCATCCTCCAGTTGGTATATTGAAAGGCATACCTATGTAAGAGGATGCATGCTTCATATTCTTTCTCTGTTGTTTGAACTGTTTTGTCTTTGGTCTTGTGGAGCTACAGTTACCTTGGGGAATCAGTTCTTCCTCAAAGCAGACTGATAGAAAAATTGACTTCTAGAGAACATGTTCAGAAATTTAGTGCTAGAGAAAGAGTTCTTGAATCTTTTGCCTTGACAAGCCATATGTTCTTTGTCCTGGGATCTGTTTCTCCGAATGTCAGGAAGATTGATGGCCTGTATAGGTTAGAACCAGTTGGGGAAAAAGGAGAACAAACAACACAGGGATCAGGATGGCAGCCAGAAATAGAGGCAGACTCTTTCTCCATCTTCATCCCTATCACCGTGCTTAGACAAGTGTTATGAGTTTGTGTGTGTGTGTGTATGTATGTGTGATGTGGTAATGGGATAGATGTCTTCCTGTTGTTTGCTGTAGCCCAGTCCCACTTGTCACAAACTTCAATGACCAGGGTTAAGATCTTTGCACAGCCCCTGCCTTGCTGGGTGATCTTGAACTCACCCCTTAAATTCACTGTGGCTTAATTATGCCATCCATCAAATGCAGGATTCAATCTAGACTCCTTATGTATCTCACAGGGTGGTGGTAACAAATCACTGAGTGAATCTGTGCCAGAGTTGAGTTTCTTGGAAGCAAGCCATCACAGAAAGTCATATTCTTTCATACCCATGACCTCTCTGGATGGCATCATGTGTGGGTGAGAACAGGAGGCTGCAGGACTGGAGTCCATTGTGTGTGAGGAATGCCATGGTCTGTAACCCCTTGGGGGTGGAGTACAGTGGTGTTCAATAATGTACCACCAGCTATCAATTGGTCAGTTCCAAGGAGGAACAGGACAAGGGGGAGAACACAGAAAATTTAGGGCAAATATGTTTGAGTTTCATTTTAGCCTTTGATTTCAACCTCTTCACCCATTCCAGACCCAGGGGTGCCTTGATGCATCAAAGGAAGATGTACCGAACTTTCTTTTTTTCTCTGGGGAGAAAGCTCATGAGTAGGAATAAAAACATGAGGCCTGTGTAGTCCATATTCACATTCTGGGCCATTCCACCCACTGGCTAATGGAGAGTTGACAAGTATTGTTTGTCTTGTGGTCCAGTGGAGCTTGTGCTCCTAGTGCCATCTCCCTCTCCCCAACCCTTCACCACCAGTATGTCAGTATTTCCATAACTACTAGAGTTCTGTGGGTGGGGTAAGGGGCAAGTAAGGTAGCTAGCTGTGTGGACTGAACACATTCTCATTTTGTCTCCTAAGCTGATCACTGGAGATTCCATCGTTAGTGCTGAGGCAGTATGGGATCACGTCACCATGGCCAACCGGGAGTTGGCATTTAAGGCTGGCGACGTCATCAAAGTCTTGGATGCTTCCAACAAGGATTGGTGGTGGGGCCAGATCGACGATGAGGAGGGATGGTTTCCTGCCAGCTTTGTGAGGGTGAGTGTCAGCCTTCACTCTCCTCTCTCTTCAGCCTTCACTTTCTTCTCCTATCTCCTTGGCTACCTACCCTTGACTTTCCCCTCTCCAGCCTTTGTTCTTCTCCTCATTTCTCTCCTGGTGGCTCCTTACACATTTCCCTTCCCTTTTTTGGTCTTTTACCCAAGACATGGGCCTCCTTTAATCTTTCCCCTTCTAATTTTGAGTTATTTTCTTTTTTTCTCCTTGATTATTTTAACAATCCCCATATTTGTCTGTCTCCTGCCTCCTACCTGTTGTGACTTGTACAAATCACTTCCCTTTTGGTCTGGATGGTTTTTGAAGACTCTTTTAACTCTATATTGCTGTGAACTTACATTTTTTAATCTCTCTTCCTTTCCGCTTTTTTATTTTCCTTGTCTCCCCTCTTTTGTTCTTTCTTTTTATAGATCCCTCTCTTCCCTTCCCCTCCCTTCTCACTCCTCTCTGCCTCCTTTGCCTTCTATTTCTTATTTAGCAAAGTGTGAATACCCCCATGTGTTGTCTTCAGCTGTTAATATAAGACTGTGGGCTCCCTACCCTCTCAGGGGCTACAGTTTACTGATTGCAGATTTTATATTGAGTCAGGTGTCTGAGATCTAAAATGTATTGAGGGTGGGAAGCAGGCAACTTGATAGTGCTTAAAAGACCTTGGCCCTTTTGACATTGTGCCATGAAGAACCTAGCCTTTAATGGAATAGGCTCTTGAGAAAGGGCTCCTTAGCAGTTTCTGTTTCGTTTAGGTCACCAATTGGCAAGACACTACAGGGTAAGAGCACTGGCCTGGCATCCCAGTTCTTGCGAATTATAAGCTAGAATCTGTTCTTTGGTATTTGTGAGCTCTGATTTTCCCCATCCACAAAATGGTGTTGATAGTTCTTTAATCCCAGTGGATATCACAATGAATGAGATCATGCACATGGAAACAACTTTGCTGCAGTACAAGTACCCGAGCTACATCAGGATGTCTTATGATCATCTTTACCATAGCCTATCATCTTTTGTTAGTTTCTTCTGTAGGATAACTGATGTCAAACAAAAGATGAGAGTAGTTTGGGCTCTTGGAAGATAAAGGGCCTCAAGACTACAATGATGATATTGTGACATGAGTGAAGGAGCCGATTATTTGAAATCAGAGAGCCTGAAAGGCAATATCACCTTTACTACTTCCCAACTCCTTGGCTTTTGGCAAGACTTAATTCCCTGAACCTTGATTTCTTCATCTGAAGAATAGGGATAACAGACTTTTTATGATGATTAAATGAGATCACATAGGGGAGTAAAGTGTTTAGCATAGTGCTTGCCGCACACTGGGTACTTGGCAAATAGTAACTTGCTCATTATCACCACCACTACTTTATTAGCCCCAAAAGGTCTATGTATCAAGGCTGGCTTTAGTGGTTCAATGAGGCCTCTTTCCTTGGAGGACTGTAAACCCAAGAAATACTGTTATCTGGTTAGAATAATTTAGATGAGGACAGTACTTAGAAGCAGAGGGATGGACAAAATGATTTCTCATCCTCTTCTGTCCTGGGAATCTCCTAATGAAATATCCAATCCTTTTTCCTCTACCTATGTGGCATCTTCCATCTGAGTCTTCAAATGTTATCTCTGTCCTAGCTCAGCCTTGCTGCTTGATGAATTGGTCTCAGGGGTAGTCAGAAAGAACACATCAGTAACCATGGCCCTTTGGGATGAGTGTGAGGTCCTATAAAGAAACAGCTTGTGTATCTTGGGCTAACAGATCCTTCTTTAAATGGAGGACTAAACTGTCATTCCAATCCAAATGTATTTCACTTTCTGTGGAATGTCATTTTAAAAAATTATTTATTTGAAAGAGAGATCACAGGCAGAGAAAGCAACAGAGGGAGAAGGAGAACAAGGCTCCCCACTCATCAGGGATCCTAGGACCCTGGGATCATCACCTGAGCCAAAGGTAGATGCTTAACTAACTGAACCACACAAGTACCCCAAAATATCATTTTTATAATAAACAGTAGATCAAGGGATGGGGCAAAATGATTGAGCAAAGCAGAGTGACTCAGAGAGGCAAATGGCAAAGCCAGGCTTTGGCTTACTAATGAACTGATATTTATGCTTCTACATGCAAGGTCAGGAGAAGTGTATCTCTAAGCACGTGGTCACAGCAGCCACTTTCATGGGCTGAAGCTGACCTTTGAGAAGACTACTGGCTGACTCAGGCATGCATGGTATGGAGTCTAGCCTAGTGGTTTTCAGTCTTGGCTACATGATGAAATAAATCACTTGGGCAGCTTAAAAAAAATCAATACTCAGGCTCCAAGCTAGTTAAATCAGAATCTTTGATGTTAGGAACTACTGGTCTATACTAGCACAGTCCAGTAGAAATATAATGTAAGCCACAAATGCAAGCTACAAATATAATTTAAATTTTTCTAATAGCCATAGTAAAAAAATAAAGTAAAAAAATTATAGATGAAATTAATTTTAATATATTTTTCTTAGCCCCATGTATCTAAAATATTATTATAGAACATCATATATTATCATTATGAACATTATTAATAAATAAATTTTTCTAAGTATTTGAAATCTGGAGTATATTCTATACTGACAACAGATTTTCATTCATATTAGTCACATTTCATGTCTTCATTAGCCACATGTGGCTAGTTGCTACTGCATTAAATAGCACAAGTGTAGACTGAGGACTGTGATAATAGACCAGGACCATTAATGATAGGGCCCAAATTATAACTTAGAGATCAAATATTCTGTCTACTATAATAATGTTTATTCTTTGAGAAACTAAGATAGCATTTCATGTTGCCTGAGATTGTTTTCAGAATGAGCATTTGATCATTGTGAACCTTTTTTCTTAACAATAGTTGAATGGTCTTTTCATCTCTCCAGGGGAGTACCATAGAACTTTAGGGGCCCACTGTTCTGGTATCATCAGTAAAAAGAAATGGAGTCAGGCTGTTGCATGAATGATATGAATATTATATCACAGGTAGAACTTCAATTCTCCTTAATGAGTATTTATGTTTAGGTTTACATTTCTGGAAAGATTCTGTGATATACAAGGTATTAAATGATAGAGGTTATGTAGGCTTCTTCCTAGTAGATATTTTTTTTAATAAAATCACTATCTCTGTTATTCTACATTGATTTTCATCGAGGGTAGAATGGTCTTATAGAAATGGTAGTAAAAATATTAAGAAATAAGAGGCCTGAGTTCTAGTCATGGCTCTCCCAACCATTTGGTATATGATCATGGGCTTTTATTTACTCCATCTCTGAAGCACTCTCTAGAATTTATTCAAGCTTCAACATGTTTAGATAGGACATTGAGAGGAATCATACCAAACTATTGAATCTCTGTTAATGTTGATGTAGTTGGTAGGTAGAAGGGTGATTTCCTGGGATACTGTAACCTTCATGTTATGGGACAGTCTCCTGCTTTATTCAGACTCACTGGGAGCTGAGATTCAGTAGCTCCTTGAAAACACTATCCCTAGGTTATCTGGCATATAACATGAAAGTATAGTAGGTTGTGAAACACTTTCTTCTGAATTCCATACCAGCTGGACACCTTTGTAGATCTTTGAACCAACTTGGTCACTGCAGAATCCCCATCCCCCTCCTGGAAGTCCCATTGTTGTGTGAGCATCCCAGTCCTAGGATGAGTAATCAAGGGTGCTTAGGGTGGTTCTGTCCAAGCTAACCCTACCTTTTTTTTTTAAGATTTTATTTATTTATTTGACAGCAAGATAGAACACAAGCAGGCAGAGTGGCAGGCAGAGGTAAGGGGAGAAGCAGACTCTCCACTGAGCAGGGAGCCTGATGTAGGGCTCGATCTCAGGACCCTGAGATTTATGACCTGAGCCAAAGGCAGCTGCTTAACTGACTAAGCCACCCAGGTGCCCCTAAGGTAGCCCTACCTTTCATTAAGCAGATTAAAATCCAGTGTGCAATCTAAGAAAGCCAGATTCTTTTTTCCCCCAAAGTTTTTCTTTAAATTCCAGCTAGTTAAAATATAGTGCAATATTAGTTTCAGATGTAGAATTTAGTGATTCATCACTCATATACAAGACCCACTGCTCATCACAAGTGCCCTCCTTAATACCCATCAACTATTTAACCCATCCTCTCACCCACCTCCCCTTCTGTAGCTATCAGTTTGTTCTCTGTAGTTAAGAGACTGTTTTTCGACTTTCTTCTCTCTTTTTTACCCCATGTTCGTTTCTTAAATTCCACTTACTAATGAAATCATGTTATTTGTCTTTCTCTAACTGATTTATTTCATGTAGCGTAATACTCTCTAGCCCTATCCATGTCATTGCTAATGGCAAGATTTCATTCTTTTTTATGGGTGAGTAGTCTTCCATTATTCACACATACCCCTACACCCTCTTTTAAATTTTTTTTTTACACAGAGAGAGACAGCACAAGCAGGGGTAATGGCAGGCAGAGGGAGAGAGAGCAGCAGACTCCCCACCAAGCAGGGAGCCCAACAGAGGGCTTGATTCCAGGACCCAGGCATCATGACCTGAGCTGAAGACAGACATTTAACCAAATGAGCCACCCAAGCACCCTCCCCACATCCTCTTTATCTATCCATCAGTTGATGGACATTTGGGCTCTCTCTATTGTTCAGCTATTTTTGAAAATGCTGCTATAAACATCAGGATACATGTATCCCTTTCAATCAGTAGTTTTGTGTCCATTGGGTAAATACCTAGTAGTGCATTTGCTGGATTTTAGGGTAGTTCTATTATGAACTTTTTAAGAAACCTCCATACTGTTTTCCAGAATGGCTGTACCAGTTTACATTCCTACCAACAATGCAAGGGGGTTCCCCTTTCTCTACATCCTTGCCAAAACCTGTGGTTTCTTGTGTTGTTAATTTTATCCATTCTCACAGGTGTCTGGTACTATCTCATTGTAGTTTTGTTTGTATTTCTATGATGATCAGTGATATTGAGCATCTTTTCATGTAT